CAAGTTTATTTACTAGAGGTTTATTTTCCCCATCTCCAGTTTAACTGATTACTCCCCCAAACACACAAGATCCAGTTTAACTGATTACTCCCCCAAACCATCACCGAAGATTATGCAATACAGCGTTTACTTGATTGCTTCCTTCTCTTCATGGAGGTGAGGTCTTGGTGCAGCAAAGAGGCCAGTGTGTGATAATGCTGAATTGGGAAGTTTCTGAGCAGTTACAGGGCCCTGTCCAGTACTAACCTGGAACAGCTAGTCTAATATAGCCCCTCCACCAGACCATACCAAGTATGTGCTTTGTGCTTTACATAATGGGCTTTTAAAAGTGGTTTTAAAGCAGCCTAAATCAAAATACAAGTCTGTATTAACTCACAGTGAAGATCAAAAGTGACTTCCAGAGGAAGTGACCATAGATTTGCCTACAGCAGCCAGGAAATAATGCAAGAACTTTCCACTTGTTGCAGGGGGTTTAGGGAAGCTCCTCCAGAGGCCCCGAATTAGCTCCAGCCTAGACAGTTACTATTTTCAATACCCAATTTCATGTGGATGCAAAAGTTATCTTCCATTGCACTTTGCCTCTATAGGATGGTGACTAACTGAAAGCTCAAACTGCATTAAGTCACTTTCACAGAAACTATGAACAGGGTATGTGAACTTATTACTGCAAACAGGTCTAACACTTGACACAGAGAAGCCAGTGCAAAACTAGAATTTATTTTCCTTGAGTAAACAGTTAAACAACATAATTCAAGAGTTCAAAATAATAGCTACTGAACTATTGTTTAGAAAATTCACCCACCTGAAAGTTCTAGTCCATTAAATCAATACAAAATATTTACAGTTTTACACAAGATTTCCATCTGTGGCTTCTGGGTCACTGTGCTCTATCTGAAAGAGAAACCTAAGATTATGAAATTAAGTATGTCAAAATAAATACTCAGTATTAACAAATCTTCAACAATCAGAAAAACTTCAGACCTCACTACTGAAGTATGTATAATACACAGTTTTTGAGAGACAGCAAAGATGCTAGCGTGCCCGGAATGGTGCACTTTTAGGCGAGAAGTTTAAAAACTTGTTCTGCTCCTTCTTGATAGGAACCCACTGCCCATAGGGACTTCCCTTTTTGTCATCCTCTCTTCCTGGAGAGACCACCATCTCTTTAACTGCATGGCCTGCTGCCTTCTGCAGTATTGGTTTTGCCATTGTATTCTACAAAAAAAAAAAAAAAAAAAAAAAAAAAAAAAAAAAAAAAAAAAAAAAAAAAAAGTCACAATCATTTGAAGATGTTGCTGTGGTACAGCAAGCTACTGCTGCAGTACTGTTCTGGCTTCTCCAGGAAAGTAGTTAACAAGCCATTAAATCCAAGTTGTTTCCATGATTGTTAATATTCAATGCTGCAGAAAGCCTAATACACATACAGGAGGGATGGAATCCCAGACTCATGTGAGGAAAGTGCACTTACATTGGGGCTGAAAGAAATGCTTCTCTGGGGGTTAGCCCTCTCCATTCCACTTTTGGTTACATCTTCTGTCAGTCTTCCCAGTTCCTAGAGAAGAGCACACAGAGCTTAAGCGGACGGATACATTATTTTATGTGAGTTAAGGCAGTCAGAGTTATTAACTTTTCAGGAAGGTTGTTTCAGGTATTTACATCAAAGGTAGCTGTGAGCGACTGACCATGTAAACATATCAGCACTGAGCTCACTTTGAAACACTTAGTATTTCATTAATCTCATTGTGTTGATTCACAGTGACCTGATATCCATGCCCCAGTGGCAGTTTTAAAGAGGATTTGAATTACTTAAACATGGACTGCAGTATCATGGAATCTAGCGTTTGCAAGTTGCATTAAGTTCTGCAATCAATCCTGCAGAGCTTTGGATAATGACAATAAACTTATCTGCAAGTGATGCAGGCCTCTTCTTCTGCACTCTCTCAACATCTGGAATATATTGCATATATTATGAAAGGGACGCCTGTACCATTTCTTTGTCTAAGAAACCTTCAGTAAATTTACTTCAATTTGAAGCAGCAGCATCTGATAGATTTAACAGTTTTTGTATTCAGCATGAATCAGATTACCAACACAAACATTAAAACAGACTGAAACTAAAGTTCAGTTTAAATGACTTTTTTCCCCTCCCTTAAGTTCACAAGCAGCTACTGCCCACAAGTCCCTTAATTACCAACAGATTTTCTTCATCAATGTCTGGAACCATATTCATCATTTCTATAAGACAGAAATAAAGTATGTAAAATGCATTGTGTGCTTGGGTATGGAATTTCTGGGAACAGTTTGTTGCATATGAAAAGCTTTGAACAGTTGAAAGCAGATTCCTTGTTTTAGCTCAGAAACACATGACTAGGCTAAGAAAGTAATCCATAATCTCTTAATTGCAAAGAATAATCTACATTCATCTCTCTTTCCTAACTTATCCATACTAAAGGCTGAATGTACCCAGGAGGTCAATCGCTTTAAATTTCCAAGGTACACATCAAGCCTAAGCAAGTTTGCAGTGTTTTTTTGGCATTCTGGTAAACCTGAAGTTTGAATTCAAGCATTTGAATCCCCAGACACAAACTCGACAGCTGAACTATTGCTTCTTCATGCAGACCACAGATTTTAAGTGTTTACCTTTTCACTGGGAATACTCCAACTCATACTTACCTCAGCTGACTCTCCAAGAGGCTCATGTTTTGTTTTTTCATTGTTTGTCTCTTTGGAAGGACTGATGACCTTCAAGCTTGCTGGCAAGACCACGTTATCGGTCCCCAAGGCTTTTGCAGCATTAGCTTTTGCAATTTCCAGGAGTTCCCTCTTCTCTGCAAGAGAAAGAAAGCGTCATTGTCTTGTGTTTAAATCCGCACTTACCTACTCTTACTAGGCTAGGAGCTGCAGGCACGCTAACAGAACTTATCTGAACATTAATTCTGAACAATTCTGACCAAAGCTTAGAAAGCCTAGCTACAGTCTAAAATAAAATACTCTTAAGTTTTCTCACGTAACAACGAAACTCTCAAAGTACCTTTTTCACTCAAGTGCAGAGGTGACCTGCTACGAGATCTCGTTCGCGACCTGCTCCTCCAGCTCCTGTAAGCCTCAGGATATATTGTTCGCCCAAATCCATAGTATCTTCGGCCTCTTGAACGTGACCTGCTTCTTGAATAGGACCTTCTGTAAAAGGATCTCCCACGAGACCATGACCTGCTGCGTGATCTGTACCTCGGAGGAGAGCGGTAGTACCTCCGGTAGCGCACAGTGCGGTACCTGCCTCGGTACCTCACGTAGCCCCGTGATCGCGACCGGCTTCTGGAATAGGATCGAGAATTTCTTCTGTACCTTCGGGTACCATTTCTTCTACCCCACGATCGTGATCTGGACCGAGACCGGCTCCAGCTCCGTGAGGAAGCTGAAGACGAACTACTTGAACTGGCCTGTGAGCTGCAAGATGATCTGCTGGATGACCTTGTTGATGATCTGTTACAACTTCTTTTGGACCTCCCACGGGAATCTCTTTTCTTAGGAGAGCTGAGGCTTAAATCGTCCATGAAGTTTGTCATGTCGTCAGTCTTTCTAACCTTCATTTTCTCCATACAGGTACTGGAAGTTGGCTCTGTTTTTACTGGTATTCTACAAAAGCCAGTTTCTGTTCCTGTTCAGAAGGGGTGGGGAGGGAAAAGGAGCAGAAATGAAGCAGCCAGATCATTTATACCACAGGCACAAATATGACAAACATAGGCAAACAGTTTAAGAATAAACAACAATAATTCTCACCCAGTTTATCAGCATGTTTTACCTATGACAATTTTGGTTTCAACATTTCCTCTCCTACACCCAAAAGTCTTCTATACGAAAGAAAAAAGCTTCAGTTTCAACCATGAGTAGCTCTCTGGTATTCTGAGAAGAGTCATCAGTTTTTAGTTTTAATACTCTTCACCCAGCATCACCATGCTTTAATGGAAAGCATATGAAGTCGTATTTTCATCAACAGAATATTTAAGGCTGGGACAGGCTATTCTAAATGCATCTTACTACGAAGACATCTACAGGTGCCTAAGTCACATGTCTTCAAGGTCGGTATAAATTCAATACTTCACATCTGCAATTCTACAGAGATTAAGTAGCTACCTCAAATAGAAATATTTACATAACCAGGTCAAAAGGCTGCCAGCTCAAGATCTTGACTATCATGTTACAAATTACTTCTAACCAGCACAGAACGCGAACACATTCTATGCAATATGTATAGCCTGCCACTGTTACAAAGACAACTCTACACAACTTGAGAAACACAGCTAATCACTGACAGGATATGACTCATTAAAAACAAAATAATACTTAGAGCGATGTATTAATACATGAAGTGTCTGCCCCTCTCGTTAGCAGCAGCCATTCTGCATATACAGATGTTATTGCATCACAGCCTATAACTATCCCATTTCAGTTGCGCAAGTTCCAAATTAACGTCACTGTTTACAATTCAGGAAAGCCACTTTACAGTCAAAGGTGTGCTCAGAGCTCACCATAAACAAGAGTCAAGAGCACAAAGCAGCTATACACTCTTCCACAAGAGCTATTCTCATGACTACTGTAAGCATTTTTCATAACCCCACCTCTGAGCATACACTAAAGAGAGAAGACAACACAAAGCACTTCTTAATTTTGGGTTAACTCCCCCTAACACAATTAATCGATCCAAAAAGCAGTGCTTTCAGTACCATACAATAGGGGAGCACATCCCACATCCTTCATACCTGACTCACACATAGCTCCCCACCTGCCAACTCGTATAAGCACAACCCTCCACACCCACCTGGCCACAAACAGCCCTGCGGGGACCCAGGGCACCATGTTTCACTAGGGCACTTACCGCTGGGGGCAGCCGGGCATCCCAAGGGCTGGTTCCCCGGAGGGTTCTGGGTGTTCCTGCAAGAGAGGACGCCGTGAGGCAGCTGCTGCTTCCCCGCAGCCTCCTGAACTGAACCCCTTCACCCCTCCATCTCCCGCTGGCGGCAGACGAGCAACGGCCGCTGCCCCCAACCC